TTACTTTCTTTAACCTAAAGGTGTCGTTTTATAGAGATAATTAGATAAGATTCTAATAAGTATTTTATCAAAACAAAATCTAGGCCAGACCATAATTAGATATGATCTACTTCATGAACATTATCAAACAATTCTTGCTCGATCAATTCTAATAAGTATTTTATCAAAACAAAATCTAGGCCACAACATATACCGAACTAGGGTAAAATAAATGTACTCTGGCGATCCTTTAACTCAAGTACTGAAAGATGCAGAGGTGATAAAATTAGAGGATCGCCCTAAAATATAATAGCTTCAACGATGAAATCACATGCATCTTGCTCCAAACCTTTAACGGTGGGTTCTTCCAAAGGCCTAATCCATGAATAAATCATGGATTATTCAATATAGAATAAGCAGGGAGAATGACATTTGATTGGCTAGAGAGAGTGAAAAGGCTCATTTTCATTAATTAGGCTGGTAGCAAATGTTCTAAACTATCAGTTGGTTTCTGCAGCTATGCTCTATTTTAACATTTCTTTTAGCATTTTGAAATATCTATCAGGATATATGCCAAGTAACAAAAGCCTGCTATTTCAAAAGCTAAATACATATTTTTTTCCTAAAAAGAGGTCCAAAGGAAGCCCAATATTTCACTATTTAAGAGTAAGGGCAATGCAAGCTAAGCAAGACGCACTGGAATTACAATTTGTACGGAAGCGAGCAAATTCATTTCCTTTTATATACAAAAATCAATGCGAATAAGTCTAGACACCCGTTGACACTTTTTATACACAGACTTCTATCTAAAAGTAATAATACACATTATATCTTTAGTATTGTTTTAACTAGCTTGCATGCCATTATACACTTAAAAACTTATGAATTGTTGATCTTATAGTTATTAAACTTAGATCCTCGAAAAGTGATAACCTTAAGAGAGCCTTCACATAAGAATCCATAACTACATAAGAGAAAGAAAGAATGTTCTCATTAGCTCCTAAATAAGTGGACTGCATAAATTCTAGCACTATCAGAAACACCAGTAGATTTCACTCTATGATGAGGTTCTACAACATTGAAAATAGATGCTTCAAACCGACCAATTATTTTACAAAATAAACTATAATTCATCCATTAAAAGAAATATTTATCTCAAAAGTGAGGTATGAAATATGTACAGACACAACTAGAACACACATTAATTTAAATTTGGAAAGAGGCTGATTTCCCAGCTCTTTGATCTGAAGCTTGTTATTTCGTAGTGTTTGTTTTCACTAATAACTTGCCACATATATTTATTATGCATACAGTGTGTAAGCACAATCCTGACCAAGATTGTGCATAATTGTGAAAATATGTGATATCATAGATTTCGGAAAGCTAATATCAACCATGGTCTGGTTTAGTGGAGATTAAATACTCTCGTTTTAATTTGGATCCGATTAGAGGTGTTTTAGAGAAGTTAGGAACTTAGGCGTACTTTTGGCCAACAGTGACTTAGATTTTTAATTTCTTTGTTTTGACTTTAAAATACAGGGCTAATAGAAGATATGTACGATGGTGTTTTAGATTAAAAGCTTGTATATGTGAATCGACACTATCAAAGAGCTGAAACATAAAGATAGAGTAAATAAAAAGAGTTATTCTCTGGAACCCGTCCATTATAAATAAAGCACAAAAAAATGAACATAGGATAGATATGTAAAACAAGGAAATAAGTTATATGGAGAAGAGTGGAGATTATATTAAATTCATCCAAGAAAGCTTTAAGAGATTATAATTGACCAAGTCTTTTTGCTAAATGCAGGGGGAGTAAGGCTCTCTTCTAAAACAGATTATAATTAAACATGCCATTGGACTTCTTGGTCTACATCTCATCAGCAGCTAAAGCTGATCAGTCTTAACTTAAAAATAAGATATTTCAAACAAGCTACCTGGGTTAGGCACTGTTTATTTCATTACTACTCGTGATTTTTTTGGTTGTATCAAGAATACTAAATTCATTTGCTATTTAAAGAGCAGGTACACATTAACCGGAAATTCATAATCATATCATTTCCCAGTTGACTACAAACTTGTGTAATTTAATTCACACCCTATTATAATATGTGTATTTATAAGCTTTTAGACTGTTTAAGCCTCCTATTAGGAGTTTGCAAGAAATGAAAGTCAGGGGAGTGGAAATAAAGATTTAACCCATGTAATGTGTGCCATTATACATTAGTCTAATTGAAAATATGAAATAATATCACATTCAGTGTGTTTCCTAATAAATTACTTGTATTTACTTTTCCAGTTTTCTACATTACTTGATCTTAGTGCAAAGACTTTTGTGGTGCTCATTTTGACTCCAATCTGACATACTTCGTATACAAAGATGTACGGAGTAGATTGCACGAAAGGGAATGTCCAAGATAAATCCCGACGGGTGGAGCTTGGTGTACACAAAAGTTGTACACAAAAGTTGTAGTTGTACACAAAAGTTGTATACGTGTCTGTTCCAGTGCAAATAAATTGTCTGTCCGGAGATGAGTTGTCTATGGCAGACAACTCATCTCCGGACAGACAATTTATTTGCACTGGACAGACACGTATACAACTTTTGTGTACAACTTTTGTGTACACCAAGCATTTTTCAAATCTCGATTCAGGCTGCAATGTGACTGTTTGTGAATGAGTATTGTTTTATTTTTCTCACTTATGTATGAGTAAATAAATAACTTACTATGTATTACTCCGTATACTAAATGGAGTATGTTATCGGTACTTTTTAAAACTTATTCCGATTTGTCGTCCTAACATCTAATATTTCTTGACTGTATTTAACGTTGGTTACATATTTCTTGCATTGTATCGGTGTTGATTTTTATTTCTGTACTGGATAAAAAGTCAAGACTTGAATCTAGAAAAAAATAAAGATGGAATTCTTTGCCCCTTATAAGGCCACATTTATAATCTTATCACTAGAGAAAGTATCAAAACACCCTCATGATTAAGACAACATTATACGACCTTTTAACCTCATTTGGAATTTTTTTTTATTATCAAAAACTAAAACTATCTCATGGAGTGTATAATATGGCTTATAGCTTTGGGCATTTACCCATCGCGCAACGCGCGTATACAAAACTAGTATAAAAATGACAGCTGTACCTAAAACATGGTACAGCCGACTGTACCATATATTTTTCCCCTTTTATTAGGTGCCCTACCAAATCTAAACCAATTTTATTACTTCGTGTTTTATTTTAATTAAAATAAATTCATTAATTAGTCATAATTCTGAAAATTTAGAATCCAACATTCCAGCTAATTCTACTCTTTAAATTTAAGAACGCATTTATCTTAGTCGTTTACCTCAATTAGCTTAAACCATTAATAGTTAGTTTGTTACTAACCTGGAAAATTCTGTTTGGCCCGAGTAACTGAGTTTTATTTTTTATTTGCGGTCCAAGTATGTAAGGATGTTTTCTTTTGGACTGAAATTTGCTGGTCTGGTCTGATCTGGTCTGGTCTGTTTAAGTCTGGTCTGTTTAAATCTGGTCTGATCTGGTCTGGTCTGGTAAACGTCTGGTCTCTGTGTATTTTATAACTACGGAAGTCTGGTCTGGTCTGGTCTGTTTAAGTCTGGTTTGGTCTAGTCTGGTCTGTTTAAGTCTGGTCTGATCTGGTCTGGTCTGTTTAAGTCTGGGACTGAAAACAGTCCAAAAGAAAACATCCTAACTGGGATTTGTATTTTTAAATTAATTATATATATAAGTTTACTTGAATTTTCTAGAATATCGCACACATAGTACATTATGGAAAATTAAAGCATATTTCTTTTAAGTAAATTTTTTCGAAATTCCTTAGGGTTTTTTACAAGAATATTACTACAATAAAACTTATTTACATAAATATGACTATTCATTACTATAACGTAGTGATGTGGTAACTAAAGTTTAAAACTTGAACATGAATTACTATGATTTCATTACTACTCTAGTACATAATCATATTTTTGTAAACCATCTTTATTTTGGTCATATTTATGCAATTATTTCAATTCCTTAAGCAGAAGTAAATTGTACGTAGTAGCAATTTTTCAAAGAGTATAATTATTTTCTCAACAATTTTTTACTTTTTTATTCTCTTAAGATGACTAAATAAGGGGTATTCCCTCAATATGACTAAATTAGGATTGATTTCCAAAAATGTGACCACTTTATAGTCCTATTTTAGTATTGTACATTTGTACCTATAATTTGTGGTATGGAATTTATAGTTTATGGTTTAATTTACTAAATCGAGTTTACGCTGTTATTTATTTCAATTCTACTACGCTGTTACCTTCCCGATTGAATTTTTTGCTCAAATTTGGTATGGATGAGCTAGACTTGACGAGGAACATACACAAAAAATTTCAACCAAAAATATCACCGGTTCTCAGGGGTTCTCACGGGTTCTCATTCTAAGAGGGATTCTCACTAGAACCCTCCCCTATACCATTAAACACTACGTTTAAACACTACGTTTGTGCTTTGGATTCAGATCCACTGTTTACTACTTTATTTATTAGGATTGGGAGTTTATTGTTTCTCTTGTTTGATTTGATGATTACTCTTTCAGGTCAGTGAGAGAGCCTTTAATTTTGTGCATATTAGGGTACGTAGGCTATGGACATTGACAAACCATTAACACACATACTAAAACTGTAAAAGGAAGGTGACCTGGGAATGGGGTTTGGGTATAATAATTCAAGAACTAGAAACTTTCATTTTTTTGTGCCGTTTAATTCATGACCATGTAGAGAAATTTTGTTATATTCTAATGGAAAGCAACACAAAATCCATGAAGCGACCATATGGAAGTAAGAGTTGTGATCGAAGAGAAGAGAAAAACCAAAGAAACGATTGAATCGATTATCGAAATCGATCCAAAAGAAATTCAAAAGATAATAGAAATCAATAAGGATCGAAGCCTTAACTTGATAACATGTGAAATCTCAAATGAATATAGAGTTCTTGAAGCAAGTATGTGGAAGGTGTGAATTAAGATAGCAGATGAAGAAGAATGAATATTCACTAGTTACAAATAGGGTAATAGTACAATCTATATATACGGAGTATATTAAATCGAGTTAAGTGAAGTTCTCATTCATCTGTTTAGGGTATTTTTGTAAAATCCTTATCATTTACTGATCGCTTCTATCATATCACTACTTTCAGAAGTTCTAGCATCGCTGAGAGCATCCTCCTCCTACACGGCTCTTTGGAGTTTCAGCACAGTTCTTCAATTCCTTTGACATCTGTTGGTCACGCGCTTGCTATCTCCAACTTTCTCACTCCATTATTTCTGATTCTATCCAGATATCCTCCGCTGTTCTGAAGACGGATGGCTATTTCTTTTCATCATTACCTTATTATTAGCATCCTGGCCGTAGGTCTCCCCTCCACCACCAACTAAAATTATTAGTAGCCTTATTAGTAGCCTCTGCTTTCTTTGTGTTCTTTTTTTCTATGCTATTGTTGTCTTTTAAATCTAAAAAGCTCCATAAGTGGAACCTGCTCTACTTTATTTACTGCTTTCTTTTAACTTGATCGCATCATTTGTTTTAAAAAAGGTTGAGCTTTCAAGTAGTAGATTTAGTTTTATGAGCATAATGTCTTGGTGAATAGGTTTTGATTTACATAAAGCTTTAATGTACTTTGATGTTACCACTGCATTAGCAACGTGAAGTATAGAATGAGTCTTTGTTGCTTACTATTTAGTTCTCATTTATATAAAACTTCAATGTATTTTAATTGTGCCATTGAAATAGTTAGGTGAAAAAGATGTACTCTGCACATGGTAGCACTAAAATAGTAAGGATACAATGGCTAGATAGAGTGAACATGGAAATCGAGGTCTAAATATAAATAGGTTTTCAGTTGTTTCATAAAATCGAATGCATATTTATTCTCCTCTTAATTCCAATATGAACACTAGCCAAATTCATTATTCGAGTTCTTTTTGATTTTATTTACTCTCTACTTAATCCATTTACAAGAATGGTAAATCCTAGAAGAATTAGGAACGATTACACAAGGAAATATTTCCAGCAATTGATAAAAGCGGTTGATTATTGTGGTAACAGCAGGGGAATCTTCCACCAGGATGTTATGAAACATAATAATTACTACGTTTATCTTATAAATTATTTGCTACTCTTGCATTCTTATGAAACATAGTAAGAATGCATAACATATAACTTCATGGATTGATTTTATTTTGCAGCCAGAGCGTGTGCTACCATATACCACTTGGAGACTTAACGTTTCTGATTTTGAATATATAATTGACTGCTCTCTCCCAGAAATCCGGGGAATTGAGGTCTAGATATAAATAGATTTTGAGTTGTTTCATAAAATTGAATGCATATTTGTTCTCCTCTTAATTATATTCCAATATGAACACTAGCCAAATTCATTACTCCTGGACGAATGAAGGAAGATGACACAAGGAAATATTTTCAGCACTTAATAAAAGCGGTTGATTATTGTCACAGTAGGGGAATCTTCCACCAGGATCTTATGAAACATAATAATTATTTCTTAGGAATTACTCGCTGCTCTTGAATTCTTATGAGACATAATAAGAATGCATAACATATAACTTTATGGATTGATATGCTTTTGCAGCCAGAGAGTTTGCTACCATATACCGCTTCGAGACTCAAAGTTTCTGATTTTGGATTGACTGCTCTCTCCAGCAAATCAGGATAATCGCATGGTTATCTACCCCTTACCCTTGCAATGGTTTTCATAGCAAATACGGGTAATCGTATGGTTTTTGTAAGGTATGTGTCCACATATGTTTTCAAGAACCCTTAATTAAGCAGTTGGTCAATAAATATCTCAGAGTAAAGGGCAGCAAGGTTTGCTTAAATACTAGCCTCATGTTTTTTAAACATTGGTGTACAATTTAAAAGTGTATATAATGCGTATGTCCATTAGTTGTAGGTCTTCCGTTTCATACCCACTTGGCCTGTTGTAATTCTTATATCCAAATTATTTACTTGGTCACAAAACCATCATGATTTGTGCCCTTATTTTTGTAACTTAACATGAGGAGTGACAACTTGGGCAGCTAAAACGACTCATATTTATACTTAGACACCATATTTTCTCTTATTCAACAAATGGTGTCTATTAATTCTTCATAGGCCCTCAGGTTTTGTTCTCTAATGCATATTCTACGGATGCCATCTTTTTATAAATTTACAGCCAAGGTAGCCTCTTATTCAAACCTTTTATAAAGATTCAAACAAATACTCCCTCCGTCCCCTTAAGTTTGTCCCGTTTTACTTTTTTCGTCCGTCCCACTAAGTTTGTCCCATACCATATTTGGTAACATTTGAGTGGTTAGAATTCATTCTTACTTTATTTACACTTTATCAATTCAATACCAACCACACTTTTTCTTAAAAACCACACCACACCCCTCCGTCCCAAACTTAGGGGGACGGAGGGAGTATTAACCTATAATTCAGCAAAAAAAAACTTTAACAGATCATAGTGGAAGCATAGAAGGGGGGCCTAGGAATATTCTTAGCTAATATAAATAGATTGCAGTTAACATATGTAATGGTACAAATAGGTTAGTTGTTTGGTAAAATAAGTACTTTTTGTTTAATAGAAAAAGTGAAAAGCAGTTTAAAACACCCTTCCACCTGCTTCCAACTTTTAGCTTTTAGGTGATTAATTTCAAGCTGTCGTTTGAGAACACTCTTTTCAGCTTTTTAAAGCCAAAAGTTGAAAAACGCTTTTTTTAAGCAACTGCAAACATTCCTTTAAACAAAGTTTTCAAAATAATAGAACTGACTAGGGAAATGGGATGACTTCAATATAATTTGGTACCCCGTGCAACGCACGTGTGAAATACTAGTACGGATGTAAAAGGCTAACATGCTATATTAATATTAAAAAGTAAAGCAGTCCAATAATATTTGGGCCCAAGATAAGATCCGGTCCAATTCTTTATTCTCGAAAGCATCATTTTCTGAAACTGCTATTTTTCGAATGAGTTGGACTTGATCGAGGCACACACTTTTACACATGTCTGTGTCGGTTTTTTTTCTGTACAGAAAAAACGTATTGTCTGTACAGACAAAAAAAACCTACACAAAAATGTGTAAAAGTGGGTACATAAAAAAAGTGTGTCCCTTTAGATTTTTTCTTTTCGAATTCGAAACCGATGCTTAAGAATATATACCTGCATGATTCTAAAGATTAGTATCTTAGAAGTTCCCTCAGGAGAAGAAACCTTTTCCAGTTCTACAGGCTTGAAGTCAATTAAAGTTATCACAAAGAAAAGCTACCATGAAAAGTAAGGTATTATCTTGATTATATTCCCAAAAATCTCATTGTTTTGTTTTTCTTTTTTTCGTCTCCGTATATAAACCCCAAAAGAGCTTGTGATATTTACCAGCCACACAAAGGAGTTTTTTGTATATAAATTCTTCAAAGCAGTCGTATTTAAAAAAGAAAAGGTTTATTTGATGGAAATGGGTTCAAGCATGAATTCTCCCCCAGCTGAAGTTGATTCATGTTTTGAGCCAAAATATGCCCTTCGAATCGGATTAGGGGTAGATCCTGACGTTCTTGAGTTTCGTTTACCATTAGGTAATGTGTATATATATATTTTGCAAGTTAAAACCAGCTTTCACTACAATCACATTGCAATATCGCATATATCATCCATATAGCTGCCCTTAAAATTTAGGGCAAATGGTGTGAATAACCAGAAAGTACATAGAAATATTAATAAACAACTGACAATAATGCTTTGCCAAAAATGATTTAGAATTAGTCAATTTAATTTATCAATATGTACATGGTAAAACCGTAAAATAAAACATAATTAATCACTAGTTCCACAATGGCACAATTCACATACCTCTTATATATATATATAATATAATATAATATAATATAATATAATACATAGCCCTAAACTATATTAAGAGATCGTTAATCAACTGATTTACAATGAAATTAAGCGGAATACATCCTTTTTTCATACTATCTCGAATTTTGTTAACATTGAATTCTTTTAAAAGGAAGTATCATGCGTGCGCGTGATAAGAACTTAGATTTCTCTTTTGCAAACAACATCTATTCATAGTTTTCTCTTTCTTAAAATTGTGCAACATTGTGGCTATAAAGATGCTTTTAAGGGCATTGAAATTTTTTACTATGATCCTTTTTTTTTTTACTTTTTTTTTACTCCAGGGGGTCTGGGGGAGCCCGGAGTAATCTCGGTTGAAACTTACTCCATTGAGTTTCCAACCCTTGTGTGCCTAGCGGGATTCGAACTCGAGACCTCCCACTAGTCACGGTAACCTCACAACCAGTTGGGCTGGAATGCTTGGTTATTTCTACTATGATCTAGTTAAATAGCTGGCTATGTGTATTTTACAACTAAAAAAATCTTCTCTGATATGGTGTGTGGTGTGTATAAGTCAGTTTGTTTAGTCTGTTCTTATCTTATCTGGTCTATTTGAGTATGATCTGTTTGATTCTGATATGATCGTATTTGAGACTGAAACCAATCCAGGTAATAACATCGAATCGTAACTTTTCAAATACAAATCTAATTGATTGCTAAGAAAAATGTTCAATCTTTTACTACATATTAGTTAGATAGTTAGATAATTTTGTCCTTGCAGGGTTGAAGAAGGAGCAAATAGAGCTTTCGTTAGTTACAACTACAATAACCAATAAAAATAACGATGAAAGCAAAATTAGAAGCTTGAGGATGAAATTGTTGGGGTTGCGTCCAAGGAGTGATAATGAAGAGGAGGAGGTGGTAGAGAAGGAGTTTCGCATTCCAACGGGAGGAAGGTACGATGAGCATGAGGAAATCGAGGCCAGGTTTCAACGTCGATCCTCCATTCTCTGTGTCACTCTCCCAAAACGGATCGGATGACTTAGGCATAGTAGGCGGCGGCGACCACATCTCCGGTGCCGGAAAGGAGGAATTATTATTATTATATCAGGGCAAACCACCAAATACATAGCTGCATCATATCAAATAATGTCTTATAAATGTATAGCTAGCTAGTGTGTATATATGTTGTACACAACAATATAAAATAACTTTCCATTCGACTGTTTCATGTTTCCATCATTTGTTTGTTCACATCAAATAATATCTATAGCAGAAATCGCCCTAAATAAGAGTAAAAACGTATTGAAATTCCAAAATAGGACTATCTTGTTTTTTATCCCTTGAATATGAGTAATCTGCCAAGCTTGGGAAAAAAATGTCATGTTTAAAGCCTAGTAATGCCAAACTTGGCAGACATTTACTCCTATTCAGAGAATAAAAAACATGATAGTCCTGTTTTGGAATTTCAAAACGTTTTTACTCTTATTTAGGGAATTCTCTCCTAAATGAATGCAAAGTAGTTAACTTAAATACATGTGGTATGAAACATTGATATTAAATACAAAGCTTCTAGAGAAAATGGAAATTAATAATCTCACATTTGCACCCATTTCTTGGAAACCTGACTTCGATTTCTGCATGATCGTCGTACCGTCCTCCACTTGGAATGTGGAGCTCCTTCTCTACCACCACCTCCTCTTCATTATCATGCATTCACGCCTTGGATGCAGTCCCAACAATTTCATCCTCAAGCTTCTAATTTCACTTTTATTGTTATTTTTATTTGTTGTTGTTAGTTGTTACTAACACAAACTCTATTTGTTCCTTCTTCAATCCTGCACAATGATCGCCAATTAGTGACTGCCTTGCCCCAGCCGGTGATTGCCGAAGTCCCCGGTCAGTGATTGCTGCTGCTGCACCCGATCAGTGACTGCCGCCGCACCCTAGTCAATGACTTCCACCCCCAGCCAGTGACTGGCGATGCCCACTGGCCAGTGACTGTAAGCCCCACCCTCTCATTGCGCTATACAGTGACACCTCCACCACCCACGCCGCACCACCCTAGAGCCGTCGCGGACCACCACCACAGACCACCGCCGTGGCCCCCAGCCACCTCCCCTACCCCGTCCGATTCTCCAGCCACCTCCCCATCCCCCCACCCAGCCCTAGTCTCATCTCTTCTTCCCCTGTCACCCAAATCCCCGGACCACCCCCCGCCCCACCACTCCCCATCCACCCCAACGTTGCACCCTAGCCCATAAACAACGCCCTACCTTCCAGCCCCGCCTTAGCCACCAGAACCTGAGCACCCTACCGCACCTGACTACCTGAGCACTCAGAACGAATCAGATCTGAAACAAATTGAAATTCTTCAAATTCGGTCTAGAATTTCAATTGTGTGGGCGTGGGAAGCGAGGTTACAGCGGCGAGTTGGCAGCATTGGTTGAGCATCGCAAAGTCGGAGTTGTAGCGGCGTGCTTCTGAACCGAAAACCCTGCACTTGCTCGAGCGACGCCTGCGGGAGAGAAAGGAGTAGAAGAAGAAAGGGGATTGTGGCAGCTGAGGAGGCGGAGGGGCGTTCGGCGAGGAGCGGTGAGGAGCCTATGCGCACCCTATCAAGCTCGTTGCCTCAATCGTCGTTGAGATGAAAGAAGATGGCGTTCGGCTGTTGGAGGTCACGTAAGATGGGTGCTACGCTAAAGTCATATATTTGGGAAAATTAAAAACAGTCTTATTTTTGTATATCAAAAGTCCAGGAGTCACATCTAGGCCATTTTTTCACTAGGGGTTATTCCCTCAATATGACTAAATTAGGATTGATTTCCAAAAATGTGACCACTTTATAGTCCTATTTTAGTAGTGTACATTTGTACCTATAATTTGTGGTATGGAATTTATAGTTTATAGTTTATAGCCCGATTGAATTTTTTGCTCAAATTTGGTATGGATGAACTAGACTTGACGTGGAACATACACAAAAAATTTCAACCAAAAATACCACCGGTTCTCAGGGGTTCTCACGGGTTCTCATTTTAAGAGGGGTTCTCACTAGAACCCTCCCCTATACCATTAAACACTACGTTTGTGCTTTGGATTCAGATCCACTATTTACTACTCCCTCCGTCCCGCTATGATTGTCCCATTTTACCTTTTTGGTCCGTCCCACTAAGATTGTCTCATACCTTATTTGGTAAAGTTTGTGTGGTTCTAAATCATTCTCACTTTATTCTTACTTTATCAATTCAATATCAACCACATAAACTCATTTTTATTAATAACCGTGTCACCTTCTCTTGTCCCAAACTTAGGGGGACGGAGGTAGTACTTTATTTATTAGGATTGGGAGTTTATTGTTTCTCTTGTTTGATTTGATGATTACTCTTTCAGGTCAGTGAGAGAGCCTTTAATTTTGTGCATATTAGGGTACGTAGGCTATGGACATTGACAAACCAATAACACACATACTAAAACTGTAAGAGGAAGGTGGGAATGGGGTTTGGGTATAATTCAAGAACTGGAAACTTTCATTTTTTTGTGCCGTTTAATTCATGACCATGTAGAGAATTTTTGTTATATTCTAATGGAAAGCAACACAAAATCCATGAAGCGACCATATGGAAGTAAGAGTTGTGATCGAAGAGAAGAGAAAAACCAAAGAAACGATTGAATCGATTATCGAAATCGATCCAAAAGAAATTCAAAATTAAAGATAATAGAAATCAATAAGGATCGAAGCCTTAACTTGATATCATGTGAAATCTCAAATGAATAGAGTTCTTGAAGAAAGTATGTGGAAGGTGTGAATTAAGATAGCAGATGAAGAAGAATGAATATTCACTAGTTACAAATAGGGTAATAGTACAATACTTATGTAAAAGGCTAACATGCTATATTAATATTAAAAAGTAAAGCAGTCCAATAATATTTGGGCCCAAGATAAGATCTGGTCCAATTCTTTATTCTCGAAAGCATCATTTTCTGAAATTGCTATTTTTCGAATGAGTTGGACTTGAGGCAAACACTTTTACACATATCTGTGTCGTTTTTTTTTCTGTACAGACAAAACGTATTGTCTGTACAGACAAAAAACCTACACAAAAATGTGTAAAAGTGTGTACATAAAAAAAGTGTGTCCCTTTAGATTTTTTCTTTTCGAATTCGAAACAGATGCTTAAGAATATATCCCTGCATAATTCTAAAGATTAGTATCTTAGAAGTTCCTTCAGGAGAAGAAACCTTTTCCAGTTCTACAGGCTTGAAGTCAATTAAAGTTATCACCAAGGAAAGCTAGCATGAAAAGTAAGGTATTATCTTGATTATATTCCCAAAAATCTCATTGTTTTCTTTTTCTTTTTTTCTTCTCCGTATATAAACCCCAAAAGAGCTTGTGATATTTACCAGCCACACAAAGGAGTTTTTTGTGTATAAATTCTTCAAAGCAGTCGTATTTAAAAAAGAAAAGGTTTATTTGATGGAAATGGGTTCAAGCATGAATTCTCCCCCAGCTGAAGTTGATTCACGTTTTGAGCCAAAATATGCCCTTCGAATCGGATTAGGGGTAGATCCTGACGTTCTTGAGTTTCGTTTACCATTAGGTAATGTGTATATATTTTGCAAGTTAAAACCAGCTTTCACTACAATCATATTGCAATATCGCATACATCATCCATATAGCTGCCCTTAAAATTTAGGGCAAATGGTGTGAATAATAACCAGAAAGTACATAGAAATATTAATAAACAACTGACAATAATGCTTTGCCAAAAATGTTTTAGAATTAGTCAATTTAATTTATCAATATGTACATGGTAAAACCGTAAAATAAAACATAATTAATCACTAATTTCACAATGGCACAATTCACATAACTCTTATATATATATAATATAATAATATAATACATAGCTAGCCCTAAACTATATCAAGAGATCGTTAACCAACTGATTTACAATGAAATTAAGCGGAATATATCCTTTTTTTTTCATACTATCTCGAAATTTGTTAACATTAAATTCTTTTAAAAGAAACTATCATGTGTGCGCGTGATAAGAACTTAGATTTCTCTTTTGCAAACAACATCTATTCACAGTTTTCTCTTTCTTAAAATTGGGCAACATTGTGGGTATAAAGATGTTTTTAAGCGCACTGAATCTTTCTACTATGATCTAGTTAAATAGCTGGTCTATGTGTATTTTACAACTATAAAAATCTTGTCTGATATGGTGTGTATAAGTTAGTCTGTTCTTATCTGATCTGGTCTATTTGAGTATGATCTGTTTTATTGATCGTATTTGAGATTGAAACTAGGTAATAACATCGAATCGTAACTTTTCAAATACAAATCTAATTGATTGCTAAGAAGAAAAATGTTCAATCTTTTACTACATATTAGTTAGATAATTTTGTCCTTGTAGAGTTGAAGAAGGAGCAAATAGAGCTTTCGTTAGTTACAACTACAATAACCAATAAAAATAACGATGAAAGCAAAATTAGAAGCTTGAGGATGAAATTGTTGGGGTTGCATCCAAGGAGTGATAATGAAGAGGAGGAGGTGGTAGAGAAGGAGTTTCGCATTCCAACGGGAGGAAGGTACGATGAGCATGAGGAAATCGAAGCCAGGTTTCAACGTCGATCCTCCATTCTCTGTGTCACTCTCCCAAAACGGATGACTTAGGCATAGTAGGCGGCGGCGGCAACCACATCGCCGGTGCTGGAAAGGAGGAATTATTATTATTAGTTCAGGGCTAACCACCAAATACATAGCTGCATCATATCAAATAATGTCTTATAAATGTATCGCTAGCCAGTGTGTATATATGTTGTACACAACTATATAAAATAACTTTCCATTCGACTGTTTCATGTTTCCATCATTTGTTTGTTCACATCAAATAATATCTATAGCAGAAATCACTCTAAATAAGAGTAAAAACGTATTGAAATTCCAAAATAGGACTATCTTGTTTTTTATCCCTTGAATAGGAGTAATCTGCCAAGCTTGGGAAAAAAATGTCATGTTTAAAGTCTAGTAATGCCAAACTTGGCAGACATTTACTCCTATTCAGAGAATAAAAAACATGATAGTCCTATTTTGGAATTTCAAAACGTTTTTACTCCTATTTAGGGAATTCTCTCCGAGATGAATGCAAAGTAGTTAACTTAACTACGTGTGGTATGAAACATTGATATAAAATACAAAGCTTCTAGAGAAAATGGAAATTTATAATCTCACATTTGCACCAATTTCTTGGAAACCTGACTTCGATTTCTCTATTATGGTCGTGCCGTCCTCCAGTTGGAATGCGGAAATCCTTCTCTCACAGTCTCACTACTACATTTTAAGGCCTAACATAACATTAAAATTGTAACATTTGTGTAAAACGTTACAAAAAATACCCTATTGTAATGGTTTTTGATATATTATTGCATTTGTCCCAAAACCGTTACATTATATATTGTTTTAATGTAACACTACTATACTATTTTATAAGCCGTTACATTTTGTTTAAAGGTGTTACATTTGGTAAACACTAACGTAACACTAATGTTATACTTCGTACTACGTACTCTGTATATAAGAAAATGGCAAAAAGGCATCACTATATCTTCATTTAAATTTCACCCAAATTAAAACTTACTGGGCTTGGAACCCTCCTAAAAATATCTAAGACAAATTATGTCTCTCAAATACAAAGCACTCCGTATAACGAAAGGAAACCCTAAGTGCTCCTCCTAGTCGAAGCAGCAAACTGCACCCGCCGCTCCTCCTAGTCAAAGCAGCAAATTGCCGCCGTAGCTCCGCCTACTGAAAGCATTAACGTACGTGCCGCAAGAAGCTACTCCTTCCACGGGAAGCACTAACGTGCCGCAAGCCGCCGCTCCACCCACTGAAAGCATTAGTTTGCCACAAGCTGCCGCTCCACCCAATCAAAGTAGCAATATGCGGCCATCGTCTCACTGGAGATGTTGCTCCACCAACTCGCAACCTTCTCATCCTCCTCCTGCCTATTCGTCGCTTCCTCTTTACTAACTAGAGGTATATTTTTTAATTTTTATCATTTCAGTTAGTTTATTTTAATGATTTTATTAATTTTATGCATGTTCAATATTATATGTGTGTGTGTGTGAATTTACAAAATTAGTATGAATGTTCCAAACCTCGGTCTTGTACAATATATTTCACAATGGAGATCAAACAGATCAATACTAATACTAAGTTCATCCTCAATCTGACTAGACATACAATTTAGAGAAGAAATCCCTTGGCCCCTGTCTTTGTCTATCCTCTCTTGTTCCTGTATTAAGTATCTTCAATTCGTACAGTTCGGTTGAGGTATGGACAAATTAGTTGTTTGCTTTAGTACTTAATCACATAAGCATTTGATAGATCATTGGTTGGTATTAGTTACTTAATTTTGATACAACACATAAGATTTTTTCTTGTAAAATATATGTTTGGTGACGTATGCAATGTATTTGTAAAAATTCCTTCAAGAGAATTATATTACAAATCATTATTTGCTTCTATGTATAATATATTATATTATTACATTCTCAATCATTCACAATTGGATTTAGTTTAAACTTATATTCTTAATCTGCGTGAAAGTATCAAGTATGTATGTAAAGCAATACGTAGTACTGAATTCCTATAAAACTGATTCAGATATAGGAAAGTAAATACAAATTGTTAGACTTAAGATCCCAAATTCTCTGAAGGCTTGTTTCTTCCTCTCACTTGAAATTATATCCATGATGAACCTTGATTTCTATTACTGTAAAAGTAATTTAACAAGTTTACTATTAGATGCATTTCTCTTACTGTGAATTTTAGAGATATGGGTAGACATGCCTTATTGATACATATATTACGGAGTAACTTCTTTATGTATATATATCTAACTCAGTCCTTTGTTTATTTGTTTGATTATTTGATTCTTTGATTTTGATAGGTTTATGGTAGACAGTGCTAGGAGATGAAGTTATCTCAAGAGATTTGGGTAACTATCATTAATAAGGCTCATATAATATACCTTTATTATATTAAATATGCTTTTATTTGATCTTATAAAAGAGTAAATTCAATATCTTGTCTCACTGAGTTGTGGAATTTACTATTGGTATTACACATCCAGTTGACGAACTATGTGTAAACAATTATCTTAAGAAGACTTATTTTAAGTCTATAATAGAACTTGAATTGACTTATTAAAAGTGACACTTGATCTCTTCGGTTAGTTTTACATAGAATTTCATCACTGATATAGGAAAATCAGTGGATCAAGTTGATGTTGTTCATGACTGAACCTTACTTTTGCTCTTGTTCTTCTGTTTGAAAAAAAACATAGGAGCAGGGAGTTTCATAAGGTTTCTAAATAGAATTTCCATAAGCATACATCTCAGTTAATTTCTTCCCGGTCCAGACTAACAGTCTAACAAGCCGACTACCCCTTCCCAGACTTAACTATTTAAGTTCTGGCTGAATTTCAGCTGTCGGGCCAATAGATTATTCAATTCTCTAGTGTCTTTATCTTGTTTGATTGTATTGGTTTAATGTATGCTCTTACTGATATTAGTATGGATTTGAACAACTCCTGGGTAAAAAAACTTATGTTTTCCAAGTCCAAGTGACCACGCAAAAGATAAAGAAAAACAACTATCTATTTTGGTATGTAATAGTTACCCCTTTTAGACTAGCTTACCCTTTTTCTTTACCTGTAGTGTTGCTCTTTATAAGTACCAAGAAGTGGACACTGTGTTAATCTGGGATGATTTCAAGTTTGTTACAGAGGTATGATTATTTAGCTTCTTAGGTTGATGAATCCTTTATCCATTTGACTGCAATTTTTTTGAACTGCAATTTATGTATTTCATTTTTTATTTGTTACACAAATGCTAATTCTTCAGGCAACTTGATGAATCGTTAACGCCGAATTCACTCAATTTTAAACCGAATCTGATTCTCTTGATTCCAACTTGCTGCTAGGCTCATATATGGTTGCTGAAGCTCTAATCAAAGATTGAAGACATTCGGAGGCTTGCTCACCTTTGAATTGAAGAACATCTTTCAGGCTTTATCTTAGGAAATCGAACTATGTGTGCTGCTTATTCTTTAGCCAAATCCAATTTTAGTATTAGTAACTTTAATGTTTTTTTTTAATATTTGTAGTTTACTCTCAAGTGTAAGAGGTGCTTTAGTTTTAGACTATTAGGTGCTCCACATGAAGTAGAGCAACTACTTAATTTATTTAGGGGTAAGGTACATGTCCCGCCCTATTTTGTTTGTATCATTCTCTTATTTTGAATAAAGCTTGGCAATTGATACATTATTTACCTTATTTATTTTGGTGATTTGCCTATTATATAAAAATATTACATATGATAATATAGCAATTAAATATAGCTTCAGTTCCTGTAAGTGTTACATTTGTTTATGTTACAGACTGTTACAATTGCACTTAAGTCAGTGGTAACACTTTCTGTTTGTTGAAAAGACGGTTACATTTGATTCTAAAATCGTTACATGGCGTTACATTAGGGAAAAGGCAACGCCAGCGAATGTAACGACACAAAACTGTTACGTTTGGAAGAATGTAACAGACTTTTAGACATATAGTAACGAAATTGAGCGTTACAAAAGGCCTTTAAATGTAGTAGTGTCTACCACCTCCTCCTCTTCATTATCATGCATTCACGCCTTGGATGCAGCCCCAACAATTTCATCCTCAAGCTTCTAATTTCACTTTTATTGTTATTTTTATTTGCTGTTGTTAGTTGTTACTAACAAAAACTCTATTTGTTCCTTCTTCAACCCTGCACCATGCTAGCACATGTACAATTAATGAGAAAATTATATAAGATGCTACTATAAGTAACATGTAGCAAAAGATGGAACATTTTTCTTCTTGGCAATCAATTAGATTTGTATTTGAAAAGATACCATATACGGAGTATATAAGATGCCCCCGGCGTTGGATTTGTGATTGAAAAGTGTTCTTTCCGATAGGAAATTATTTAAATTTCAAAGATTTATTAGTTACTTGATCAAATTTGCAAGCACGAAAGTTACAAGACTAATAATGATCATAACTGAAAATTAAATGACTAAAAGTGTAAATCTCACTAGAAATTATATTCATATTTTATCAATTCAATATTAACCACATAAATCTACTTTTCTTATTAAGCGTATCGTTTCACCTCATCTTCTCTCAATGTTAGTGAGACGACAATAGCACTATTTAATCTCCGTATTTTATATCAATAATTTTCAACGCCTAATATATCACCCAAAAATGTTACAATATCATTGAAAAGTGTTACATTAGAGAAAATATAACACTTTTCTACCATTGCATTTGCTCATGTTGCATTTGACCTATTGTAACACTTTATAGTCCATAATGTAACATTTTTACTTCTACAAAATGTTACACTAGGTCTAAAAAGTGTTACATTAGATAAATATGTAACACTTTTATAGATATGTTACATATTTAATGTTATGTTAGGCCTAAAATTGTAGTAGTTGATATTGGATGTATCTTGTATGTTTTGTTAATTAAACAAAATTTTGCACTCTAACACTACATATTAAACTAGTCAACAACACGAGTGTTGCACGGTAAACCTGTCCACGTCTCCACGAAGTAACTCATTAATTGATTACAAAAAATCTATTTGTACCCACTTTTAATTTGTACACACTCCCACTAGTTTGCATGTGTACACAGACAGCTCGTTAATAAGATGACAACATTTGTCTCCCAATTGCCTGTGTACAAATGCAGACTACAAAAGTGTGTACACCAAGAAGGGTTAAATTGATTAATATATGTATAAGTATACATACAGTAAATATTTATAGTACTATAAATATCGATCATCTTCTAGTTTGTGAAAGGGGATTCGAAACTCATAGCATATTTTCTGAATCACGCTCGGATCTTGCTACCCCGATCTTTAAGTCTATCAATAAATCACTATATATGATTACAGTTACTATGATAGTGATTATATAGTTAGGAGACAT